GTAGCTCGATGGTTATAATTGCGGCCAAAACAGCTGCCGCTGCTGCACACATCATTTGAGCCTAGGCTGCGTTGTATACAAGCTTTCGTGTCGCCGGTTTTAATCGGTTCATGTTTGGTATCATTTTGCACACAGTGTGTGACGGTTGCTATTGCTTTATCCGCAACCTTCCTAATGTGTTCCGCAAATGTTAAGTTCGTATCTAATTGCATGCCCAGATATCGCCAACTGTTAAAACTAAATTGAATGTAGTGCCCATCTACCTTTATTTTTGGCACTTGGAGCACCCTTTTACCCGTCCCCAGTATGGCTTCGCTTTTTTCCACGGCAAGCTTCAATTTAGACTTATATAGCCATCTATTTTATCACTATATTTATCTATATATCTATATCGATATCTATATTTATATTTATATTTATATTTATATCTATATTTATATCTATATCTGTATCTATATCTATATCTATATAATGTATGAACGTATTTATTTCGTATTCGTTTTTAGCGAATGAAGCAACAAACAGCACATTTTCTCTTTTTCTCATTTGTTATCTGGTCTACGTCGCTGAAAATGCAACTTGTGACCAAGTTTGTTGTTTAATCTGCAGATTTCATAAGTCAGTTTTGGTTTGGTAGTCATAGTTATACATGCTCAACTGTTGACCAGTTTGGGAAACGCGCGTACAGCACGGATGTTACCTTTAAAAGGAAAATTAATACACATAGTTATGTGCATGTATATCGTGTTTGTTGCTTTTGGTCGCTGACCGGTGTGTCGTCATCTTAGTTTTAATAAGCGTTTTACTCTTCTTGCTAATTGTCATTGTTGCTGTTATTATTATTATTATTATTATTATTATTATTATTATTATTATTATTATTATTAGTTATTATTTGTATTTTTGTTGTTCTTGTATTTGTTTGCGAATAAATACGTGGTGTGATAGAACGCGGTTAACAAAAATAGAGTGAACATTACAGATGCCTAACATCACACATTGAGTGTAACCTAAAACTAATTTGTTAAAGGTTAACACCACACTGTAATAGTGCTAAGCTGAAACCAGATAAAGAAATAAAAAAATTGAAAAAAATTGTGAAATAAAGTAAATATGAAGAAAAATGAAAAATAAAAAGACAAACAAACATTCGTATGTGCATATATTACTGAACTTGCGAACAGTGGCTACAAACCAATATCGTACACTATCATTAACTGATCTATAATTACAAACAATAAATGCAATTTATCGCTAGTAGAAAAGTATCCGTTAATAATGTGACGCCAAGCTGCTAAGCGGCACACAAATCGACAAATCAGACGAATCAATTGGTTTTAAACGGTGACCACTTATCATAAAACCTAAATCATTTTTAAATGAGTGAGGGACTGACATTCCTTCAAGCTTAGAATAAATGGATAATATTCTTAGCAAGTCAGAATTTCTCTTAAGCCTTTTGAGTTAAAGCATTTCTGAAGATTTCTTAAAATGGCAACAAATCATACAACAAAACCCAAATCGGACAATCCGAAGCATTTTAAATAAAGTCCTGAAGTTCATATAAAAATAATGGATTTCTTTTTCCCCAAACTAATATATTTTAAGCACTTAAGCACTAGGAAAGACTAGTAATGATACCGAACACCGAAGCCTTACACGAAGACCTAATATTTTAAAGTATTTACTTATTTCTTAAGATCGACATTAGATTATATGCACACTAACTCACTTACTTTTAATATTTAATAAAAAAATTTTCGAAACTTTCATTGTACGTTTAAACCTACTTATAAAAATAATTTTCTTTGCCGGTTCTCGGGAAAATCGAATTCCATATGAAAATGAAAGCAAATTACAGGAGAGAGAGAGAAAACTTAATGTTGACAAAAAACTGATTAACTGATTAAGAATTCATAATAAAGATCGAAAACATTCATTGGAATAATAAAGTAATAATGAGCTTGCGGATTGAACGATTTTTGAATAGTTTAGTTTATAAGCATGAACTGTTACGCATATTTATAAGAAAACATAATAATAATAATAATAATAATAATGATAATAATGGTAAAATGAGAAAATTAAGAAAAGGACAAAACGAGCTGGCATAAGAGCCGTGTTGTAAGAGCCGAGAGAAGCAATCCTTTAACTCGCTTTATTAATAAATTGAGTGATGAAAAGTTGTAGAAATATGATCCAAAATTACCATACAACAAACGACCTTTTGATTTTAATATGCAATCAAATGCAAACTAGAAGCATTTCCATCGCAAATTTATCGTAAATTATCGCAAACGTTAGCTAACACGTTTTCTTATATAACGTGCCTAACTTGAAATGAACCGTTGTCCGTAATTAAAGATTCAGCACAGCTTTAATCGTGTCCAAAATCGAAAAGTTCGCTTCACTCCTCCAGAATTACAACCGAAGGCAACCAAGCATTCTCATAATTAATCCTCGTTAATGCAAGACGATTTGGTGAATCTACTTGAAATTTCGAAACATAGCGTTACCAATGGCGCTATTAGCGCTTAAATACAAGTGCTTACCATACCATATCGTTCTCATACGTACTCTCACATATATGAGCCTAATAAATTTTATTACTCCAAATATTTTTCGAGCAAATGAAGAAAATAAATAAATAAAACAATTTCTTGGTCGGTGTCCGAGTTTAACTGGTCATTACTTTATATATGTCTTATGCGTTTATGTGTATGGGCTTACGTAGCCGCGACAATAGTGTACGAGATGTCGACTTTTCGCGAGTATCGCTTTTTTAAGAAGCTGCAAAACCTGCTTTGCGCACACAAATAATGTTATCACCGTGAGAAAAAAGCAACACACAGCACATATAAATAATGTGTGCGTGTATGTGTAAGCATATATATATATATATATATATATATATATACGTATATATATAGAGATATATTGCATAAAAAGAAAAAAAAGCACAACTTATAACAGTAGGCTACAGACAACTGCAATAGTGCTAACAGCAGCTGCAACAATAACAACAATAAACGGCAGAATATACGTATAAACAAAACAAGTGGGTGTCTATATAAAAAGTCCTGAAATTGTAAGCTTGTAACCCAAATATAATGTAACGTACGAAAGAAAATAGCTTCGCGCAGCTGTAAAAAGATTTATCGAATGATTTTTGTCATAGACACAGCTGATGCAAAAAAACAAAAAATGTTTTTTTTTTTTTTTTTTTGATTTTATATGTGGGTCATCAGTGTGCTTCCGTTCTAAATACGATTAGTCAATTAGTTTTGGTAATTTTGTGTTTGAAAGGCTGTAAACATTTGCTTTAGTTCACAAACTTTCGATTTTCGTAATTAGTTTTCACCTCAAAGTATTATTTATACATAGACAACTCTTACACAGAGGTACACTCATCTCGTTTCTATATACATAGCGATGGTGCCGGCGTAATCACTAATATCGACTGTGAATCATCCTCAGTGCAGTCACCACCATTGCCATACAGTAGCGCATTTTTATTTTCTATACATACGTATGAACGTGTGTGCTCCTTATGAATTTATTCAAGTATGCGTGAATGTGTCTTTTCTTGTATAGAAGTGTGCGTGTGTGCGTGTGTTTTCGTTACGGTATATATATATATATATATATATATATATATATATATATGTGTGTGTGTGTGTGTGTATGTATGTTTTCTTATTTATTTACTTATTTTTTTATTTTTATTTTTTTATTTCGAGCTTATCAACACATTTATCTTTTACGTTGGCTGTTCACACGCCCCCATAACTCACCTTACGACTGACTGAACAGGGCAAGCCAAAAATTTTCACATGATTTTTCTACTCCGGCAAATGTTTACATTTCTCTTTAACCAAAAGTGCTGCAACTAGTACGGCGTTTCAGAAAATGAAACACATATAAACGTTCACACAAACACACACATGTATACATATATACATACGTATATATATATATATATATATATATACATGTACATACGTACGTACAGCGAACAAAACAAAATAAAGTAGAAACACAACAACAACAATAACAACATCACTCCAGCAACCAACTAAAGTATCATTTATATGTCGTACGTATATGTGTGTACGAATATGCAATACATTATAAGATTGCTGGTTGTTGTTATTGTTTTTTTGTTTTTTGTTTTTCTTTTCTTTTCTTTTTTTTTTTTTCTTTTTGTTTTTGTTTTCTGTTCCCGATTGTTATATTATTACTGTTGTACATGCATGCATGCATGCATGCATGCATGCATACAAGTACGAGTATTACATGCGTACATCTCTCACATAATGCTTCCTCTTGCACTGATCCGATTTTCGGTTGTCGCGTTTTGATGTATTTGTTGTCGTTCCTGTATGTGATATGCCCCTGTTTACTAAGTTGACGTTTTCTTTAATAAGAAGAACAACAATAACAACAAACAACGACGAAATTTTTTTTCTTTCTCGAGTCAATAATGCTGCTGCTGCTGCTACTACTGCTACTGCTACTGCTACTGCTACCGCTTCAGATACTTAAATAACTAAACATTTAATGATCTTATTTAGTTTAAAGAAAACATTTTTTTTTTTTTTTTTTTTGAATCTCATAAATTCTAAGAGAGATAAACGAAACATTGAGTATTGACTTCACTTACAACTTCACTAAAACGCACACTATTTGAACACATTGACGTCAATGAAATCACTGAAAGCACACATGGCTTAAATGATAAGAGCAGACAGCTGCTTAAGACAAGAACATTATCGAGCAGCCCTCGGTGTGCGCTAAAGATGTGATGATAATTTCATAATATCTTTTATTCTTTTCTTTGATTAAAGATTTTTTTTTCTTTTTTTTTTTTTTGATCGTTGTGGGAATAAGCATAGAAAAGAGGAAACGCTTGTATGCTTATGCATAGGCGATATCTGCTCTTCTCATCGACTTTTGCTCTTATCATCAACCATTTATTAATATCTCTTCTTTTTTTACAG